ACATCGAATGCTGACTAATACATAACAAGCAGTCCCATAGTACAAAACGCAGCTAAATTTATGATGTAAGTCCTACATTTACTATAAAATTTATTTAATTGCGAACGTCAATTTAGGGTAAAACATTCAGTTTTAACAAAAAAAAAAATGCGGTGAAAACTTTTGATATCTACTACAGTATACTGTAATTTAAAAATATAAATATTTGGGCCTTACAGCGGAATATAATCTCAATTCCCACGCCAATAGATGTACTACCGGATGTACAATTATTACTAAAACTTAATCAATAAAACCGGGAATTTAAAATTCAGTATCGCGTTTTTAATTCTATTATTATGTAATATTCACTAAGGGTCTGAATGAGTTTTAATAGTTATACACTTATATAACTTTCACTCTTTATTAAACATAAAAACAGCAAAAATGACAATAGATAAGAACACAGTTGACTAGACAGTAAAATGTTAATGTATTTTTTGTATTTTAAAATTCTCACGATCAAAAAAATATTTCTTTACAGCGCAATTACTTTCACAAAATTACATTGGTGATATTGTACCATAAATATTAAATAAATAACACTTCTCTGTTTTCACATACTATATTAAAATAACTGAATTGAAAATCAAAGTTATGTTATTTATTATAATATTTTTTTATAACTACCGTTCTCGATGCTATCTTCGGCTTGTAGGCACCTGTTTAGTTCTGGCTCCGATTTTTCGTCCAACTGTTCCTGAAGTTTATCCTTTAGAGCCTGCTGCTTTCTTTGTGCTTTTGCTTTAATTTTCTTATTAATTGCCACCATACCTTTAAAATTAAAATATATTTGTATTATGAACTAAAAACTAATATTTTTAATGGTTCATACATTTTAATGTTTGAAACAGCATATCAGCACCCTTTTTTGGCTTTCTATTAACTAACATTCTAGAACATTAAAAGAACATAATTAGGTGTAGAATTGAATTAATTAATCTGAAAAGCAAATACCTTGCCTGTCGTTCTTTCATTTCAATCTTAAGCATTTGTAATTGGTATGCAAAATCATCTCGTTGTTTCAACATTGTACATTCCATTAATGTTCCTAAACAATCTATTGGAGGATATTCCTTTCTGTGGTTTCTTAAATGGTAAATTAAACGTTTCAGGGGCTAAAAACAATAACAAATATTAAATAACGTTAATATTCCCCATATTGTTCATTACCGAATTATAAATTTGTACTAACAACCAAACTAAAAAAGTAGCTAACATGAGTAAAGCTCCTACAGGTTCATAGCTTTCCTTAATTTTATCCACTAAAGGAATAATTACGATAAATGGTAAAGCTATTAGGTACGTAAAAGCCCTAAGAAAAAAACATTAGACGTTTTAAATTTAAAAAACATTTTTATAATACTCACAATAGAGCCATAGTTGTATAAAATATCACTAATCGCAATCTGTTTATTAGTTCTTTCGTTTTAAATGTAGAAAATTGTCTTTTCTTCACAATAATAGATAATCTACTTATTTGAACAGATATTTGAACTATACTTAGTGCTGCCATCACAGATATAATTTTAGTATCTCTGAAAATTAAAAAAAAATAATTAAGAAAATAAATAACTGAAATTTACACTGTGCACATACCTTAGTAAATATGACACAAAGATATATAATGTAAAAAATAAATAATGGAGAGGTAGAAATGAATTTCGTATTTCCCAAATTACTGTGTGTAAATAAAAACAGCTGATATAAATGAAATTCCAGTTGATAAACTCATTGCTAAAAACGACAGGCGAATCTGAAAATCCATACTTGCAGTAATATAAATTGGTAACAAAGAACAGTAGATACCAAGAAGATTGAATTACTCTCTTACGCATGTAACATGGCCACAAAAACCTCTTCAATATTAACTGAAATACAATATGAATTATTACATGTTTATTCTGTTCTTATGGTACTTACAGTAATCATGTTTTCATAAGTTAAACGGAAAATGCTCCATAAAATAACTGCCCAGAAAATCCCATTTCCTAGAGCGTTATTGTAATAGCTACCAAATTGGTTTTTCAATAACCGTGGGATTGGTGTTAATTCGTATTCGAGAAAGCTCATGTTTATGTAATTTGACTAAGACTACTATAAATACATTCTTAAAGAATCCGAAAGTAAAAATACACTGCACCTTAACCTAAAAATGGAATTTTTAGTTAAACATTATTATTAATACATTTTAAAATCTTTAACAGTAAAAATAAAAATTACAAATTTCACTTACTTTCCTAATGAAAACCCAAATTTAAAACAACACAAAAAGCAACTCAACATACCCACAAAAATTTGGTTATGTTATTGTTCGTTGTATCTATGCTGTAAAGTCTGTGGTAGATTCTTTGGTGGTCGTGGTAGCATACTCTTCAACACGCACTCAAAATCTGATTAAATTTTGGGCTTTCTTATCTATATAATTCATGTTGTTGAACGCAAACTTATTAAAAAATTACAATTCATTCAACCGAAATTTAGAAACCCCTCCCATTAGATAATCATAATGGCCGACAACAGCAACAATTAAAAGCATGATGGCCGACATCAGCAACAATTAAAAAAGAATGATGGCCGACAACATCAACAATTAAAAAAGTATAATGGCCGATATGTGCAACAATACCATAACAGTGGATGAATAAAGATGGCCGATCAGGTCGAAAATTCATGAGTTGTTTCCTCTCTATGGAATATGTGCCGATTTTTCGTGTTATGTTAATTAAATTATGTTTATTTCAAATCGTACTCAAAAACTGTTGGTAGGATCAAATTTTTCACATCTTTTTACATATATTTCACCATTTAGATCATTAAGAATAATTGCTTAATTGGTCGAAAATTGACGAGCGCTTTTTTCCGTATGGAATTTTTACCGATTTTGCGTGTTATGTCGATTAAATCATTTTTATTTTAAGATGCACCCTAAAACTATTAGTACAACGAAATTCTTCACATCTTTTTACATATGTTTCACCATTTAGATCAGTAAAAGTAATTGCTTAACAGGTCGAAAATTGACGAGCGCTTTTTTCTGTATATAATTTTTGGCGATTTATCGTGTTATGTCAATAAAATCTTTTTTATTTTAAGACGCATTCAAAAACTATTGGTAGGACGAAATTCTTCACATCTTTTTTCATATATTTCACCACTTATAACTTTTAGAATAATTCTATAACAGATCGAAAATTGACGAGCGCTTTTTTGTGTTATGTCAATTAAATCTTTTTTATTTTAAGATGTAATAGGTCAATTAAATGTACATGTACATGTACATGTATAGATTGAATCCCAGGCAGTAACATGAAATTTAATTTATGGTCTAATTTTGATCTGTAAAGCAATTAATATTTTTTTCTATTCTCTTTGATGAATGTCGACTTATATAGCTTTACTGGAAACATGACATAGTGAAATCAATATCAAGAATATGTAATTTTTTATCATTA